GAGGCGGTGGCATCAGCAGCGGTGTCGATGGCGTTCGCTGTCCCGGAAGTGGTATACCCGGCGGCGGCGGATGTGACGTCATCTGTGGGTGCTCCGAAAGTGGCGGCAGGCACATTGTGGGGAAGGTCCTGGGTAGGGTTGGGGATTTGGGAGGTGGAGGAAGCCCATTTTGGGTGGCAGGCACCAGTAAGTTTACTGTACTTACAGTTTTTAGTGTCCAGTAAAGCTGAGTAGAATTGAGAGTTCAGGTTGTGGATCCTGCGAAGAATAAAAAACAGGAGAGGTCCTTTGCAGGTCTGGGAGAGGGAGGCTCTGAGCTGTGGTAGGCTTGATTGTAGTGCCAGGAGATGCTGGTGCATTGCTGAGAGTGTGTGTTTCAGGAGTCACAGGGAGAAACGTTTTTGAAGGATCTCAATGTTCTGAATGTAGACATTGTCGTGGTTGGGGCCAAATTGGGAAGGCCTAAATGTGGACTGTCGTACACTGGGGATGATCCAGTTCTGTAGGCAGGTACTAAGAAAGGTAATGTGGCTGTGGTACCTGGTTTGCTTCAGGACGTGGTCGAGCAGTTTCAGGGCTGGAGAGATTACGAGAGAGTCGCAGTGGGAGAGAGATCCACTGAGGTCTTTCCGGAGGGAGGAGGGTAACTTCTTCAAGGTAGGCATCCTTAGAAGAGGCTACGCAGTGGGGTTAAAAATGTTTCAGAGAGAGTAGGACCTGCAGATAGTAGGAACTAGAGAATCCGAGATAACAAGGTGTACAGCTGGATGAACATAGCAGGCCAAGCCCTAAAGGTGGTGCTTGGTTTGGTAACAGCTCAAATTTTAAAATGTGCATCTTTGGCTTTATACCAAGTCGTGGTCCCTCACTTCGCTAAAACATAATTCCTCCAGCCTGGCAATGATCTCAAGATATCTGCATTCCTCTTTCTTGCGCAAATGGAATCTGTGCCATCTTCCATCAAGACCTTAAGTTCCGGAGTTTCCTTTCTAAACAAAGAACAGGAACAAGCCCTTCAGCCCACCAAGTCTGCGCCAACACATGACACTTTTCTAAACTAAAAACCTTTTACCTCAAAAGCACTGTGCTCCTTTATTCCCTGCCTATTCATCTGTCTGTCAGGATCCCTCTTAAACATTGCTATTGTACCTGTTTCTACCACCTCCTCTGGTAGCACATTCCAAGCACTTACTACACTAAAAAAAAATTGCTTCTCACATCCCCTTAAACTTTCACCCTTCTACCTTAAACCCACGTCCCCGAGTAATTGACATTTCTACTCTAGGATAAAGACTCCAACTATCCACATTAGCCACACCCGTCAATTTTTTAAGCTTCTATGGCCACCCCTCAGCCTCCGACATTCAAGTGAAAACAAACCAAGTTTGTCCAATTCTCTAAAAACAGGCAATATCCTGGTAAATCTTTTCTGTACCCTCTCCAAAGCCTCCACATCCTTTTGACAATGTGACGACCAGAACTGTGCACAATATTCCAAACAAAGTTCTATACTGCTGCAACATGACTTGCCAATTTTTCTACTCTATACCTTGATCGAGGAAGGCAAGCATGCCATATGCCTTCTTTACCATCTCATCCACTTGTGTTGCCACTTTCAGGGAACTGTGGATCTTCACACCTCAATCCCTCTGTATGTTAGTGCTTCTATACTATTCTTCACCATATATTTCCCTCCTGCGTTAGATCTTCCAAAAACGCATTACTTCGCATTTGGCCAGATTAAATTCCACCTGCCATTTCTTTGCCCATGTTGCCAGCCTATTTATATCCTGCTATATCTTCTGGCAATCCCCCTCACTATCCGCACCTCCCCCAAACTTTGCGTTGTCTGCAAACTTAATCAGACCACCTCCATTCTCCTCCAAATTATTTACACATATTACAGAATTTGGGGTCCCAGCTCTGATTCCCGAAGAACACCATTGGTCTCAGATCTTCAGTCAGAAAAACATCTTTTCATCAGTAGTCTATGACCAAGCCACTTCTGTATACATCTTACCAGCTCACCACGGATCCCATGAGACATGAACTTCTGTAGCAGCCTATGAGGGACCATGTCAAAGGCCTTGCTAGAGTCCATGTAGACAACATCAACCACCCTTCCCTCAATCATCTTTGAGTATTTTGAGGAAGTGAGACACTACCCTCTCCAAACAAAGCCATGTTGCTAATGGCTAATAAGTTCTTATTTTTCCAAACAAGAGTAAATCCTGTCCTTAAGAATCTTTTCCAATAAATTCCCTACCATTGACATTAGGTCCACTGGCCTGCAATTTCCAGGATTAACCCTTTCTTAAAAGGAAGGAAGGAATATTGACTATTCTCCAGCTTTCTGGGACCTCTCCAGTCACTAAACAGAATACAAAGAGTTTGTACAAGACACCTGCAATTTCCTCCCTCTCTTCCCTCCTTATTCTGGGATAGCTCCCAGGCACCTGTCTGCCTTAATGCTTTTCAAAACACCCAACATCTTTGTCTTACATATCAAAATGCCTTGGAATATCAACATTTCGCTCTCTAGACTCAGTATCCACCATGTCCTTTGCCTTTGTGAATACTGATGCAAAGAATCCATTAAAGGACTCACCCACTCCCTCTGGTTCCAATCATAAATTCCCTCCTTTGTTCTTTAGTGGACCTACCCTTTCCAAAGTTACCTCTTGGTCTCTAAAGACATATAAAACCCCTTGGGATTTACTTAATCCTCTTGGCCAAAGACATTCCATGGCCCCTTTTAGCCCTAACTCCTTACGTTGTCTCCTTTCTTTATATTCTTTGTGGAATTTTTCTGTCTTCTGTTTCCTAAACCTCACGTATGCCCCCTTTTCCTTTTTGACTAAGCTCACCATCCAAGTTTCCTGAATCTTCACATCCTTATCCTTCATTTTAACAGGAATATGCTGGTCCTGAACTCTAATTAACTGGCCTTTAAAAACTTCCTACATGACAGATGTGGACTTGCCCTCAAATAGCTGGCCTTACTCTTCATTCTCTAGTTCCTGCCTAACATTATTGTAGTTAGCCTTCCCCCCACCTAGTTTAGCACTTTATCCAAGCACTACACTTATCCTTACACAAAAGTCACTTAAAACTGATGGTATTGTGGTCAAAATGCTGCCCACCAAAACTTCAGTCACCTGGTCACGCTAATTCACCAATACCAGCTCTAGTACGGCCCCTTCCCTAGTTGGATTATACACATATTGCTTCAAGAACCCCTCCTGACCACATAGATAAATTACCTCCCCATCTAAGTCCCTGGCACCAAGGGAGCTCCAGTCAATAGAGGCAGTTAAAATCAGCCACCACAATCACCCTGTTATTTTTACACTTTTCCACAATCTGTCACATATCTGTTCCTCCATCTCCCATTGGCTGTTGGGAGGCTTGTAGTACAATCCCCAGAGTGACTACACCCTTCCTATTCCTGAGCTCTTACCCATATGGCCTCGCTGGATGAGTCCTTC